TGGGTAGAGGCGAGGCCTATCTTAACTTCTGCTGACTGCGGGGACAGCTTCCGGCTGTGGTCCAACTAAACGTTGAACCACAACATGTTATCAACCACAGCCACCACTATACTCCCACTAAAGGGGGCCAACCTCAATTGGGCTGGCCTTGGCCACCAGCCCATCCCGTGGTTCAAGTTAAAAACTTTGATTGGCTGATTCGCAGTCAGAGACTACTTCACATTTTGGTTTCCGACAACCAGGAACTGGGTAAACACCGGCGACTGCCTCCCGAAGGAGTGGGTCTACCAAATTAAGGTTTTGGTCTGCCCTTCGACTAGCCCATAACGATTCGTCTCCCAGACTTTAGGACTTTGGTGAGACCTTTGATGTATCCACAAGGATACGTCTCTCAGATTAAGGCTCTGGTAGGCCCTTCGACTCATCACGAGGATTTTATCTACCAAATTGAGGCTTTGGTCAGCCTTTCGACTAGTCCATTAGTATTCGTCTTCCAATTTTGAGGACTTTGGTCTGACCCTCGTCTTACTTCATTATGAAGAAAGTCAGCCAAATTGAGGCTTTGGTCTGCCCTTCGACTCGTCCGAGTGGATTTTGTCTACCAAATTTATGGGCTTTGGTTGGACCTGCGATTCACTCCGGGGAGATCATCTGCCAATTTGAGGCATTGGTGGGCCTTTCGTAGTAAATGCTATTACCAGTTTTGACTCACGCCAGTCCGGTACTGGTTGACCAAGTCCAGCTCCAGCGTCAAGCAGCATGCGTCGGCTGCTGAAGACTATGCGAGCATAATCTTCAAGCAGTTGCATGGTCTCGTTGGTCGTCAGGGTGTCAGCGAAGGTCCAATCTCCGGATGTATTCTGCTGAATTCCAAGCCCTTCCGGGACTCGCACATCCGCATAGAGGGGGCAGTCACATAAGATGTGCTGCCAATCCTCTACGGGATCGCCACATGGACATTCAGCAATCTCGCTTAGACCACGCGCATGCAGGAAGGCATTCATCGAGCCATGGCCAGTTATGAGGAAACTGGCATGCATCGTGAACTTGAAGTCTGGGTGGCTGTAGACGAAGCCGATCGCAAAGGGACGCGACATGTGGGAGGAAACTCAGCCGCTCGCCGACCGTGATGCCAAGGTAACGGCATTGCGTCACATACCGCAAGTTTGCTCGTGCAAAGCTTACTGCGGGCGGTCTGCCAGATGACAGCCTTCCCTTAAGGAGCATCGTCACAGTCTTCGTTGCCGAGACTGAGACGCCTACCTCGATACTCCATCCTCCAACTAATTCCATTAGTTGGGCACCTTTGAGCTCCAGTTGGGATCTGGAATTTCCCTCTACGAGCAGCTACGTCAGCATAAGCACTTAGAGTGCATTCCTCTTCAAGGCGATGCAGAACTGTCCATCAGGATGTTCCAAATAAATGGACCACTGATGGACCCCTGCGGACAGCCACGTGTAACATCGACACTGACTTCGCCGAAGCTGCTTACGATACTTGCTTTTCGGTCCGAAAAGAAGCTGCACCAGATCCCAACTTCCCTGCATCCTAGATCCGACAGTCGGCGTAGAGCTGCGTCCCATTCGACATGGTCGAACGCACCCCTGAAGTCAACGAAGATTCCGTGCAAATATCGAGCCGAGCTGGCTTCGACACTGCTCACGACGTGACTCCAGGCATCCTCAACGCAGTGCCCGGGGCGAAAGCCGAATTGCCATCGACTCTCGTCCGTGAGCACCTCCTCCACACGGTTCACCATGATCCCTTCGAGTACTTTGCCGAAGACAGGCAACAGGCAGATACCCCGATAGGACGCTGGATCGCTCCTGTCCTTATCTGGCCCCTTGAGGAGCGCAACCACACGTGGGCGCTTCCACTCAGTGGGGAAGTATCCCTCTGCCAGTCAGTGGAAAAACAGCGCTGTCATGTACTCAGGGATGGCGCGCCAAGCCGCTTTGGCCATACCCCCAGTTATGCCGTCTAAACCAGGTGAGCGTCTGCTCCGAACTCTCGCGATGCATGTCTCTACCTCGAAAGTGTCCAGGGCTGGGGGTACTTCGCGAGGAACGGAAACGTCTACTGGCCTCTCTGCAGCAGGAAAGAAGCTGCTGGGCAGGACGTTCGCAGGTCGTGCCAGGTTACGACTTGCTCATCATTCCAGCGAAGGCAACCGATTTCGGTGCACGTCTTGCGGCCTTGGCATATCCGGTAGGCGCGCCCCCATGGGTCTTCCTGGTGCTCGCCGACAAATCGTTTCCAGTCTTCCTCTTTCACCTTAAGCATGTATACCTCATGTATACCTTTCGGGTGATCCTGAAATACGTGGCGAAGTCATAAGCACTATCACTGTGGTTTCGACGCGCATGCTGAAGGCTTCGTCGGGCTCTCCGTCGGGCGGCATTCCACCAACCCACACGACGTCTAGCTTGCAGCTGCTGACGCCCCAGCACAGTGTCGCTCACCTGATGAACCAGGGAGCGAAGTGCAGTGACCTGCTCATCAGATGCCATTTGGTGAAAATCCTCCAGAGGAAGCTCCAACGATGCAGTCCTCAACTCACCACTGAAACGTCGCCAGTCAGCACATTGGAGTTTCCACGAGGGCACCGGAGCATAGCTCTCAACAGTGCTGACGATCGCTGACGATCGTTACGTCGATATCGCTTCTTGTCCTGCGATATTCGAACGTGTACACACTGCTGCGGACGTTTAGCACTCCGGCTCGACTGCCCTGTACCTAATTTGCGAGCAGCTCACCCCGCTGCCTGTTCAAGTAGCCCCGAGAGCGCTCGGGGAGCTTACTGAACCATAGGGGGATACTGCGTTGGCATCTAGGATACCGATGACAGGCGTACGGGTGGCTAGAAGCAGCACCGCATCCATGTGCAGCAGGTACGGTTCAATTCCGGCATTGAACTGGCAATACACGAAGGTGAGGAAAATTGAGCCCAATATTCCAGACACACTCACGCATACGCCTTTTGTCTTTTGTCTTTTACATACATTTTAGAAAAGCATTATTTGTTCAATAAAGATCTTGAAGAAGAGTTATTCAACAAATAAGATCCCATAGTAATTTCATCAAAAATATATAAAAGAATCGTAGATTGATTGGAGTAACAGCACTTCTATGGGTTCAGGAGCAAGTATAAAGCCAATATACCCTCTGTCCTTAAAAAAAAATTATCAAAATCAATATACTCCACTTTCATAAGGTGATCGAGTATTAAACAAGTAAGAGAACAGAGCCAATATATCCATATTTTAACTGTTTGGTCGGAGCAGGAGATTACCGAATCTATTCGGCCTTCCATGTGATAGGTTAAAACAAAGATTCATATATATAACATACATTGAGATATATATAGACAGTATATTCCAAATTTTACATACTCGCACATAAAAACTAAAACATTTATTTGATATAGAGTTAATTAGACGAATGTAAATGCAATTATCTACATATTATTCAGTATACCGATTTTATCCTTAAATCCTAATTTTTCACATACACAGCTAAAAGTTCGTTAATAACAAAGAAGTTAATAACATTGGAGATGACATTTAGAGTGAGTATTCATTAAAATTCATGTCTAATACGTATATTTTGGACTACGTTTATACGCCACAAATTCTGAAATCAAAAAACTCAATCAGATGAAATGCGGATGGTTTTTTCTTTTTCTGTCAATATCATATTTATTATATCTGAAAATACTTTCATAAATCCAGTAGTTGTAAAACCCACTCAAGTAACAGAACTATTTTTAGGCGTATAAACGTAGTATATATATATATATATATATATATATATATATATGTATGTATATATATATATATGTATGTATATATATATATATATATGTATATGTGTGTATATATAGATATTTCGTAAATAATATTAACACAGTTCCAAAGAAACTTCGATGTTCCGAAGCCCGCTCATTCTGGCAAATACAACCAGATTGTCTTTTCCGATATAAAAATATTTGTTTTGTCTAAAATAAAATGAAACCCAAATCAAATCCAAAATTCACTTAAATTATACAAAAAATAAATTTTGTATACAAATGTGATAGATATAACTTCGATCAACCAGAAATGCTAGAAAATAGTTATAGCTGAGGTGGAAGTAAAGACAAGGATAAACTGCGAACTGTTGCTGTTGGATTATTGATGTCTAGTTGAACGAGTATTATGGCAGTCGGTGCGTTGCGCAAATTTTGAAAAGATCGAAATCATTATTATTATATGAAATGGATAATAACGCCATAGGAGATATTTAGATATTTACATAGATGCAAATGCAAAAACAAATAACATGATCAAAAATAACATAGTCCAAAACGTTGAGAATCTTAACAAGTTCTTAAACTTATGTGTTTAACACCAATGACTGTTCCATATATCACGTTTAGAGCTTTTTAAATTCTGACGATTTATTATTTTTCTTATAGACACCACCAATAGCAATCTATCAGCATAAAAGTAAATATTTTAAGTATTGTCTGCACAGAAAGTAAAAGAAATGAGTTAGAAAAAACGACAGAGGAGAAAGAGAGAAAGGGAGAGAGAGAGAGAGAAAAACACAAAAAAGAAAACTAGCCTAAATGAATGAAAATGTAAAATTTCTTTTATGTGGGCTTCAATAATTTGATTTGATTAGTTATATAATGATATAACCTTAAGAGTATTGGATAAAACGAATTAATCTCTTGCTGTTTCTCAGTTTCTAATATATATATATATATATATATATATATATATATATATATATATATATATATATATATATAAATATATATTTAATTAATGCATTAATTAATTAAGCTTTCGTTAATGCTTAAAAAAGAAATTTATTATGCGGAATCTTTGGTTATCTTGTTTAATTGTAAAATTTACTTACAACTATATATATATTTATATATACATATATGTATATATATATATATATATATATATATATATATATATTAATATATATAAGTATAAACGGCCTAGCCGCAGAGATTGCTAAACGTATTCGTATCGTAGTTGTTGTTGTTCTTCTTTCAGTAGCTCGTGTAGCTGCCTATGTCGGTCGGCTTGAGCCGCTCAAAGACGGTCAAATGGTGCGCTGCCGGATGTCCTGTGTGGTGGTGTGGATGTGGATGTGGATGTGAATGTGGATGCGTATGCGGATGCGCATGTGCAAAGCCGGCGTAGTTAGCCTGCTGTCCGTAATGGGCATAAGGATAATTCGGACTGGGCACATGCAATGTAGGTGTTCCACTCTGCACGCTATAGGGTCCATAATCAGGTGCCGATGTTCCGTGTCCGTAAGGCGGACCATACATTGAGTTCACATTCACCGTTGGCATCGCATGTGCCATGTGCACATGCTCCATATACATTTGCGGATGCGAATGTGGATGTGGATGCGGATGTGGATGTGGATGTGGATGCATCACTTGTGGATTGCCAGCAGCAGCTGCAGCAGCAGCTGTAGCTGTTACCAACGCGGAGCTAATCAAATGGCTGGCATGCGGATGTGCATAGCCACCTTGACCATGGTTGGGATAATCGTTATTGCTGTTGTTGTTTGCGGTATTTGTGTTGCTGTTGGCTTCGGGCCTGCTGGCGCTGCTGCTAACTTGGGCCGAATGTTCATCAATATTCGTTGTAGCTGACGATGCGGCCAGGCTACTAACAGAAAAGTTACTGATCACAATGTTGTTGGCTGGTGGTTCCGTATGGACATTCTTCTGCTGCTGCTGCTGCTGCTGTTGTTGTTGTAGTTGTTGTTGTTGTAATCCCAATAAACGACTTTCGACAGCAGCTGCTGCCGCCGCTGCGGTTGCTGTGGATATGGCGTTCGTTTCGTGCTCACTTATTGTTGGTATTTGATCAACCAGAGATTCAAGACCCGACAGACTCTTGCGTGACATATCGGCGGAGGAAACTTGACCCGACTGAGCATTATTGTTCAGTTGTGGACTTAAATTGATATTATGATGTGGGTGGGGCGATGATACCATATAAGATCGACTATTGCTATGCTCATCATAGCGTTGCCAATGCTCTGCTGGATCTGGTTGATAGTTAAGCTGCGCTTGCGCTTGATAGTGGCCAACGGGCGACGATTGGGATTGATTGAGCTTTTGGGCGGACTGTTGTTGTTGTTGTTGTTGTTGTTGTTGCTGCTGCTGCTGCTGCTGCTGCTGCTGCTGCTGCTGCTGCTGCTGCTCTTGTTGTTGATGATGCATCCACTGTTGATAGTGCTCGGGCACATGCGTCAGCGGATCGGTTTGCAACTTATCTGGCGCGCGAGCCGTTAGATTCGTGTCCTGGCCATCATTCCGCTCGCTTGGCGGCTCAAAGTCAACCACAGCACACATATTTGGTGAGCTCGGCGGTGGTGTTTCACCTAAATGTGGCTGATCTCTGATGACAGCTGCAGCAGAAGCCTGCATCTGATGATGATCTGTTTGCATAAGCTGCATTTGCTGCTGTTCGACTTGACCCACTGACGGGTAGCTGCAATTGAGCGCTGGCGATGCCATCGGCGATGCGGATGCTGTATATAATATATGAGAAGGCGGCGGCGTATTATATAAACTAGGCGGTGCCTGATGGCCCTGACTCTGCGGCGATGCTGTATTATGCTCCATTGAAATCGAAATCAATCCAGTTGATGTTGCTGTTGCCGACTGTTGCTGCTGCTGCTGTTGCTGTTGCTGTTGCTGTTGTTGTTGTTGTTGTTGTTGTTGTTGTTGTTGTTGTTGATGTTGATGTTGCTGCTTTTGCTGTTGCTGTTGGTGCTGCTGTTGCTGCTGATGTTGCTTTACATTTGTCAACATATTCTCTAGGCTTGGCTTTAGTTTTTTGGGTCTGCCACGTTTCTTCTTAGTGGGCAGCTCAGTGCCATTGGCGCTGTTGTTATTTGCGCCGGCAGCCATCATCGACAGATTCAAAATATTATTGAAATCATGTTGCGGCATCAGCTGTACTTTGCCGGCATTTCCGTTATCAATTACGTCCTGGCCTTTAATCTTTTTCGGACGACCACGTTTTTTCTTTTCAGGCAGCGACTGTTGCGTAGCCTGTTGATTACCGAAGACAGACAAATAATTGGGTTCATTATTGGGACGCATTGCCTCCTCATTACTCCCATAGATAAAACCATCGCGGGGATTGATATTGCTTAAATTTGGGTGTGTCTTGTTATTGAAGTGTGGCAACAGCTGTTTGTCCAGAACTTGATTCGAACAATCTGTGACGGGTTCAATGTTATTATTATTATTATTATTGTTCCTGCTGTTGTTCACGTTGTCAACAAACATAAGACTAGATTGTTGCTCCATAGTGTTGTTAGAATTATTATTATTATTGTTATTAGAGTTCGCTGCTGTTGACAGATTCTTAACGGGTTCCTGCTGCTCACAGCACTGCCTTATACGTTGCTCAGTAAAGATGCATTCCGAGTCATCCATGTGTGGTACTTGACCATTCAGAAAGTCCCGAAATTTTTTCAGCGCTGCATAAAAGGGCACTTTGTCCGCAGCCCGAGGCAGTTGAGCGCATCTCGCCGACGAGGAAGGCATTACCCAAATATACTGAAATGCACGATAAAAGAAGGCCCAAAGACATTAATAAAAGTGTTTGTACAATATATAAATAAACAAGAGCTCTGGGAGATACCCTGATCCCAGTCCTATCTGCATTTTTTAATATTTTCCGTAGTTTGTATCGAGTATTAAAAAATAAGGCAATAAAAATGTTCCATCTCCACCAATCTCGAACCCTGGGATTTGAGTCTTCGAATAGAAAAGAATTTGAATATAAGTTCACACGTATAGGAAAAATGCGTGCGCGTGGCGCTGCGGACATGTGCTTTTGCAAATTGGCCAAATGTTTTGTTTAATAACTTCTGTTTTACTTGATGAATTTTCAGCTTATGATCTACATATTCTTTGGCTTGGTAGAGATGCAAAACGCAATGATGGCCCTAGTTCCAACTAAACTTTAATTTTAAGAATTTAGGGAAATTTGGAGCCAGTATCCAAAATCCAATAAAAATCAAAATTGCATAAAATATACATAAAACTAAACATAAAATTTGGAGGCTCTAGCTCTTACGACGTACGAGATATAATTTATTTTCGATCATGTTTTTATTCGATAACAATTAAATGAAAATAGTTATCGAATATATGAAACAAACTTGAAATGCGTGTGCTATACACGAAATACGCAAAAATTCAAGTCTCTAGCTCTTACAGATGCTGAGATTCATACATACGGACAGACAGACAGACGGATAGACAGATAGACAGACAGACAGACAGACAGACGGACAAACAGACAGACGAAGAGGGCTCAAGAATATATATACTTTATGGGGTCTGCCACGCCTCCTTCTGCCTGTTACATACATTTGCATAAAACTATTATACCCTGACTTCCCATTTTCAATGGGATCAAGGGTTTTAAAAAAGAAACAAATTATCGGCTTAAATCGATAAGAATATAGGTTGGCTTAATTCGAGATCAAAAATATATACTTTGTGGGGTTTGTTGTTTCATATTTTGCCTGTTACCTACGCTGGCAAAAAGCCATTGCACTCTGAATGGGTTCACGGTATATAAATCACTTATTTACAAATTATAAAATATAAAATAGACGAGATGGCAGTTGCAACCGACTGCATAATACTCGTTCCTAAACCAAAGCAAGCAGCTCATCCCCTCAATTCCGACTGCTTGAAAAGAGCCTGACAGTGGAAGTTTCCTTTTCTTGTTTGAAATTTTGACTTGTTCACTTTATTTTGAGATCTTAGTTGGTGATCGAACTTGAAAAACTGTTGCATTATCAATTTATGATATTCAAAGCGAATGCGAACAGAAGAACAACAATCTAGAATAACTTGGCAGCTGCTCCCGCGTTAGAAAATATAGAAATATACTCGAAAAGATAAGAATTGTCGTATTTACTGGGAACTATAATATGTACTCACAGTATTGGTACCCTCCACTCGATCAGGCTGCCGACCGAAGTGAAATTCCTTCTTGCCCGAGAATACCTCAAAAATCAGTTTGCCATTGAAAACAGCAACCTTGGGTTGAAAGCGCTGTAGTTTCTCGAGCAAAATGCGACTACCCTCTTTGATTTCCTTACGCGTTAGATCCGCAGAGCCTTTAGTGGCACGCGCAACCATGTTCGTAAAGCCAATGCCCTGCTTAACCAAAGTATAATCATCGTCGGCACTCATTTGCTCTTGGGTAAGTCCGGATAGATAAAGACATTTCCAGAAATGATTACCAGGTCCGGCATAATGATGGCCTTTGTAAGCAGCGAACAAGCCGGGATTTATACCAACCTATTAATTAAAAATTAAAATATTAGTTTTACTCTATGCCGATTGCATTCAAAGCCTTTCAGCACAACTGGACTGTACGAAATTTACAACTCACTATTACAATATCAAGATTATCACAAAGATGATCGGGTATGGTACGCTGAATTACTTCCGCCTCAGACATTCCATTAAATCGATCGTGCTTCTTACGCTCCTTGGGCTTCATGACCAGCATATCATCTGAGCCAATGCCACCGTCTCTGCTGACACTAAATTGATGGAGAGTATAAGATGTCATTATTAGAGTGGGGTAAACCTAGTGATATTCTTGACTAATAGATAGCCCCAATATAGAAGTTTTGAGATAAGTCAAAAGTTCTTCTATATGAGAAATTTATAGTGATCATTATTATAATAACTTGTTGAATCTGACTCAATTTATCAATCACCTTCAATGAAAAAAGCCATTTAATTTTGGTATATTTGAGGCCCTGTACGCTAATACACTTTTAAAGTTGTCGGTTCTTGGAGATGTCTGCATCAAGTCAATATGAAAGATAACTAAGTTAGTTACTGTTAAACCGCCAGGCAACTATCCATGTCTGGCTAGCATCGCGAATTGGGTTGATTACAAGAGAAAAATGTGATTGACAATGCTATAAAAGCTTTGAATCTGAACCACTATCCGGCTTAGATAAACTAACCGATTTTATCCCCGTGACTGTAATATTGACAAAATTTAACAACTCAGCCTCACAATGTTCTTGAATGTTATAGCTTTGACATAGAATTTGCCGAATTCTTGTGGCCCAGACGTATTGTCTTGCGTTCTCAACATCTATATCAATTAAATTCTTTACTAACCATTGCTGTGCAGCTCCTATTTGCATGTTGTCCGCTTCGATTAGTTTCTTTTTACGGCCCCTTCTCTTTGGCAGTGACCCCGAACCTGGCCTGGCCTGTTGCAAATCGAAATTTATGGATTTGTTCGAATCTTGAGATGATGATTCGCCCCCTCTTCTGATTTCCGTATTGTGAGAATCGACAATCGGTTCGCTATTATGCGTCATGTTGCTATATATGTCACTGGATTTTTGAGCAACAGCAATAGCACGACAGGACGCTGAGCCCTGAGCCGCTGGTACAGACGCATAGTTGGGGGCATTGGATGCTGGCATATCGACAGGAGCTGGGTGACCAGCTGGAGATAGAATGCTCATTTCTTCGGCCATAAAGCCATATGGATCAGTATTAGCATTTTGCGACATCGATAGATCCGGCAGAACAGCTGGCGCCGCTTGCACTTGCGGACTACTGCTCGATGTGTTAGCGGCTTGACTTTGATTGTGATTCGAACTCGAATTTACATCTTCGTGTTTATTTTGAGGCAGCAAACCAAGTGGCACCACATGTTGCATTTGATGTTGCGGAGTTACCGAATGTGTGGATGAACTATGCGAATTGGGCGTTAAAACGTCCCCAGCACTTGTTTCATAGCCATCATCTTGATTTTCCGTTTTAGCATTGCTTGGAGAAAGTGTTCTAAAAAATATGAAGCGAATTATATTGTTTTAAGAAGTGATAGATAGGTATAAATAAATATATATATATATGCAAGCATGTATACAAGCATGTATATATACCAACTGTGTTTCATACGTTACTCACAACTTGTACCCTGAACAGGGATCCTCGTGAAATTCATCCATCATAAGATCATGGTATTGCTCCGGCATTTGTTGCTGTGAATGAGCAATTGCATGCTGAATAGCTGAATGCTGTTGCATTGGGACGTGACAATCAACATGATGACGATGTTGCAGCGGATGTTGTTGTGTTTGCTGTTGAGAATGTTGTTGCTGCTGCTGTTGAGGATGTGCTGGTTGCTGCTGCTGCTGCAGGTGATTATTATGAGTATGATGCAATGCAAACAATTGATCATGAGCATATTGATGATGTATATAATTGACATAGTGTAGCGATTGTTGATGCTCAAGTATATTTTCTTGATGTATGTTGTGTGGATGATGCAACTGCTGCTGCTGCAGTTGCTGCTGTTGCTGTTGCTGCTGCTGTTGTTGCTGCTGCTGTTGCTGTTGCTGGTGTTGTTGCTGGTGTTGCTGATGTGAATGTTGTTGATGGGGCAGCATTTGTGCATACATATTGCTCTGTAAATGATTTTGTATATGTGCGTGATGCTGTTGATTGAAGCTTTGCTGCCTTTGATTATGTTGCTCCAATGGCAAAAATTGCCCAAAATTTCCTGTGCCTCCAGACGTTTCTTTCTCTATTTGCAATAGTAGCTCGGCGGGATGATGTGTCTCTTGCTGTGTGCCAAATATATTTGATTTATAGCCAATCGAATCTGAGCAGCTCAAACGTTCCGAGTTGCTATTGAGCTGTTCTAAATGACCAGAGCCAGATCCAGAGCCAGAGACAGTGACTGAGCCAGAGTCAGCGCTAGAGATAGAGGCTTTATATTCATCGTGCGGTACCCAAATTGTTGCTCGCCTTTCTGTATTTAAAATATCACCTGTTGTTGTTGTTGTCGCTAATGTTATATTAGTAGGATTCCTTAAATTCACATTGGAGGAGGAGGAGTCTGTTTCACAACCATTGTTTTTATCAGTGGGCATTGCTGGCATTGCGCGGCTGAATTGGACGTCAGTAGTAGTAGTATTAGTAGTAGTAGTAGTATTATTATTGTTGTTGTTGTTGTTGTTGTTGTTGCTGCTGTTGTTGTAGTGTAACTTACTATGCTGAATTGGTTCTGAATTTAGCTGAGCTGGCACAACTAGCTCCACTCTAGTAACTAGCGCTTGCTCTGGCGCAATATACGCACTTGTGTCATATGTTTCAATTGGCTGAACTTGGTTCTGATCCACGTTGATAGATGGCGCTGCTTCACTTCCTCTCTCTGCTAAACTTGTGCTGACTTCTTGCTGACGATAATTGGTAACATTTTCGCTGTTCTGCTGTATAGCTGAATTTCTAGTTTCATCGCATATTCCATGCGCCACTTCGTTTTCATTTATATTATCATCATCATCATCATCATCATTATCATTATCAATATCATCATAATCATAATCATATTCATCATCATCGTCATCATTATCTTTATCATTATCATTATCGTCTTTCACCTTTTTAGAGTATGGA